TCAGAAAATATGGAGAGTACACAGCCACTGCTTCACCCTCTCCAATTTCAAAATCACCTTCCCTTATCTCTGCAAAGTCTGTCACAAAAACTGCATTATATGAAAAGGGTAACTTCAATGATTCTGCAAAACTAGCTAACCTTTTTCCAGTCTCTTGTATCATGCTTCTGCATGAATTAAGTGCAAGTGCAGTTATCTTCAAAAGTTGCACTTTGCAATCCTGGCGTTCTGTCAGTGCTTGCATCAATATTGTATTGTGCACCCCACATTTTGTTTCGAAATCAATAACATGAATTTTGGTCTCAGATGCAACATGTTCCACTATAGTTTGTATTCCAGTGAATTGCATGACTTGATTGAAAGGAATATTTTGATGGAATGTTAGGGCAACATTGGTGTCAATCTTTTGAATCCACCCCCTTTCTTCTTTTTTCTCCGATCCCTTCGCTGTCGTTCTTCCCAGTCCTCTGTCGATTCTCTCTCGAAGTGCTTGGGCGAAGTGAAAGATAACTCTTTGAACGGGGCTTCCATTATTGGGTGATGAATTCAGTTGACAGTGGAGAAGTAATCTGCTTGCACGTTCAAACTGGTGGCAACCTACCCTCTCAGCTGCAGCAAGGAGAAACTGAGCAAGTTCTACGTCTCTATTTTCCTCCTCAGACAAACATCCAAAATCCAATCCGTATGGGTGCATAGGGATGCAAAAACTATCATTCCAATGTGCAGAATACTGAACATATCTGAAAGCACAAGATCATAACAGATTTTGAATCGGAAACACAATTTACATGTTAAAAAATATCAATTCAACTAAAAATATATGTGACAAACCTTGCTCCAGCTACTCTTATAATTTCTTCAGTTGATATCTGGTGGTGATCCAAAGAAGGTTTCGCTATATTTTGCTCGCTTATCCTCTTAAATCTGCTTATGTAGTTTCTCAGCAGCTCTAAGGATGCTAATGATGGTGACACATGATTATTGTGTTCAGCTGATTCTATGTCATGCTTCGCTGGCCGCGTAGTTTCATCGAACTGTGGTGTCGGTTTCAGTTGCATATCATAGTCACAGTTAAACACTTCTAACAACTTATCGACTTGTTTCTGATCTTCATCCTCGAACAGTTTGGTTCCTTTTTCATCCTCAATAGGTCCCAGCAATTCCATTCCAGAAAAACTCTCTTTCTCTTGAAACATATCCTCTTGTGTAGAGCCATAACCCACTAGTATTTTTCTTAAATTTAAAGCTGTGGATGAAAATTTATCATTTTCCATGTTAACGTAATTAATCAAGAAATTGTGTTTATCTAGATAAACGTAGGGGAGAGGGTATCCATTACCACGATTCAAGGTGGAAAAGGAATATTTGAACGTATAAATGATCGAAGAAACATATGATCACGAAATTCATGAAAGTGATAGGAACATGTAACTCCGACGATGATGTCCTCGATGTTCTCATTGCAGTCGTCAGCCAGCTATTAAAAAAAACCGGACATTTTTACCAAACCAAAACTTTGGCATATAACAATGAAAATTTGTATTTAATTATGAGGAGTTTTGTCTGTGGAAGCAATGGTGTGGGTCCGAAGAAGCCATGAAGTAATATTATATCTGAAACTTTTCATAAGAAGTTCAGCCAGATTGATTTGACGGTCCAAGAAAATGAAGAATGGATTTAAATAAAAATGAGGGATGGCCTTTTCCAAGACAACAAGGGAATCCAACAAGAGTGTAACTCCAAACTGACTTTATCTCTACTTTTATTACTTTATGTACACATAACTATGACGAATACTATGTATTTTAAAAGTAATAATTGATTTTGTTTTGGCTAATGTTCACTAAGAATCATACTTCTTTGTCATGTAGAAATGGTAACATAAATGGTTAATTGAACCTTTCTCTAATCTAATCAATAAATATTCGATACATGTCCAAAATTTTTTATTACTTAACTTTGCTAAAATTAATAAAATTATGAGTAAGGTTATTAATAAGGAGTGTCATTCACATAAAATTGCAATATTGTTGAATAAATTTTAATTAATAATATTGGAAGGAACTTTACAATCATATTTCGAATATTTTTAAGGATTGAAATATGTTTTTATGAATCTTATTCAGTTCAAATGCTAATTTTTTAATTTTAATTATAAAATATACTAAAAAAAGATTAATACATTTAGCGTATTAAAATATAAAATCTGTTTACGTATTTAATTATTAAATATTTAATTCTAAAAAGATTTTCTAAAATTTAAATGAATATTAAAAGAAGTGAGGTATAATTAAGTGCTACTATTATTTTCATAAACTAAAATACTTATACATATTTTTACCATATGTAAATATAAATTACGGTTAATCATGCAGATATTTCAAACCATCTACGGGAAAAGACTCAAATAAGTCAATCATGATGACAAAGGTTTTAAAGGTCGCTCCCTATTCTAATATTCTAGTCTCCCGTATATGAGTAAAATACTTTTATTTTATTTTAACATTATATTTTTCCTTTCTTTCTTTCGTCGCTTTGAGACTACAAGTTGCAAAGGTTGGTGGTGGTAGAAAGAATTATCAAGGAGTCTCCCTCTCGTGGTGTAGCTCTCGTGGTGTAGTGTGTGTTGCTTCCTCCAGATGCGTATTCGAATAAACCTTCAAATAAAACCCTAAAATAAAAAACGTCTCTAGGTGCGTATTCGAATAAACCTTCAAATAAAACCCTAAAATAAAAAACGTAAGTGACATCCTTCAACGGATGAAGGATGTCAACATCCTTCAACGGATGTCAACATCCTTCAACGGATGTCAACATCCGTTTAAGGTAAAACGGATCCGTTAATACTTCAACGGATGTTCCATTTCTGTAGACTCCTTATACATTTTTTCTTATTTTTTATATCAAAATAATTTTTATTTTTCATAAATAAATATACAATTTTTTTTAAATCAACTACAAATAAATCTATCGGATAAATAACTCTACAAAAAATATTTAATTAATAAACCAAAAATAATCTAGTGTTGCAAGTTCTTTTGCATCAATTACTTCCGCTCATTTCATCAGCTCTATCATAGTGACAATGGAAGCAATGGAGGAAATTCAATGAGAATGGAAGCAACTTAGGAAAAAGGAAATGAAAAATTAAAGAGGAAGAGGAGGAGAGCAGAAGAGAGGAAAAGAGACAAATGAGTGGTTATGTGGAGGTGTGGGGCTAACGGAAANGTTCCATTTCTGTAGACTCCTTATACATTTTTTCTTATTTTTTATATCAAAATAATTTTTATTTTTCATAAATAAATATACAATTTTTTTTAAATCAACTACAAATAAATCTATCGGATAAATAACTCTACAAAAAATATTTAATTAATAAACCAAAAATAATCTAGTGTTGCAAGTTCTTTTGCATCAATTACTTCCGCTCATTTCATCAGCTCTATCATAGTGACAATGGAAGCAATGGAGGAAATTCAATGAGAATGGAAGCAACTTAGGAAAAAGGAAATGAAAAATTAAAGAGGAAGAGGAGGAGAGCAGAAGAGAGGAAAAGAGACAAATGAGTGGTTATGTGGAGGTGTGGGGCTAACGGAAATGATTACAAAAAAAAAAGTAAAAGAAGAGGAGGAGAGGAGGAAGAAAGGGAAAAAGAGAAATGAATAGTTATCTGGCAGTAGATGCGGCGCTGAAAAGGGAGAGTGAATGGAATTAGGGTTTTCAACTAAAAAGGGTAAAAGTAAAAAATATTATTTACGGTTGATTTTGGAAATTAAAAAAATTGGAGAGGTGGAAACAAAAACATGTGACGGTGTAGGGAGTACCCTCTCGTTTTGAATACAAACGTTGGGCCCATCAGCGGTGGACCAATTCTCCTCCTTGGAAGCTTCTCCCTGCACTTCCCTCCATTTCTTTTTACACCTCCAAATTTTCTTAAAATCTCAAAACGGCCCTCTGTAAAATAGATTAATTTAAAAGTAGTTTTTGTCTCACTCCCTCTTTGTTTCACATAATCAAAATTTAGTGAAAAACTCAATAAATTTCAAATCTCGTTAATGACTTTAATAAATTTTGAAATTTTATAAATCTTCAATAAATTTTGAAATTTGTAAAAATCTCTTAATTTTATTATATACTTTCGTGCACTTGTTTTTGTACAAAAAAGAAGAAGATGCTAATATACAATACCACCTCACCAAGACGGAGGAAAACACATTTCCAAGCCAAAACAAGTACCACAACACCCTATCATACACACAAATAGAAGGAATCACAAAAAACACCACAATGGAACCACGAATAACATATATTGACTAACAAAGAGACTACAAAGAAGAAGAATGGAGCGAGTCCGGTCCAGACCGATGAAAAGAGTGCATATCTAAGAAGATATGCCAAATTAATGAAGTAAAAAAAATGAAAAATTGGATGAATGAGGAAATATTTTACCAACCGTATTTATTTATTTTTCTTTTAAAATTAAGAAGTGTAATTAAGAAAATTGAAGGTGGAGGGAGAACTCTTTGGAAGTGTAGTGTAGGAAGAAACGCCATCCTTCTATCTACATTAACAGAGTTAGTTTTTGATAAAGCATTTTTTATTATAAATATTTTTTCAAAAAATAATATGTAACTCTAAATCACCTTTTTCAAGAAAACAGCTCTTGGGCGAGGGTCATCTTAAGTTAAAATAATAGCTTATTGTAGGAAGGATATTCATTAGAAATTGCGTAGCAGGACCATCAAGTGCTGACTTTAAGTCCCTTATGGTACTTTTTATCGGGAATTCTTTAAAAAAAAACATCAATAACAATATTTTTTTAATATATACCTCATTTCTTAAAATGGGTAAAATTACTTAGATAAGAGTATCTCTATTTTTTACTAATTTGTTAGTTTTCCCTAATTTTGATCTTCACTTATTTGTTAACTTTCCTCTTAATCAATTAACCATAAATATCAAAACTTTTAGTATTAATTTATAAGAAGTGTACTGTGAATAGAAAAATTGAATCCAAAGGTATAACAAATATGGCAATGTCTATCAACAGATATCAGACTTACAAATTGCAGCATTAATTGGCTAACTTTACCCTTTTCCAAATCATGCTACAAGACATGAGAACCTTGTTGTAATGTATAAAATCCAATCTCACAATGTTTTTGACAAAGAAAATTATACCTTATCATCAATCTCATAATGTTCCACCTTGGAAATTGTTGCACTTGTTCTAAACAAAAAAATCGTAGCCATCCTTATAAGAAGCCTTACGATCTTTACCATCCCAATAGTGAGAGTGAGATAGTAGAGCCACCACCCAACAAAGTCACTCACTCTCACATCCATCAACTGCTCTTTCTTCGCCTCCACCATTATCACCAAACTCTCCACATCCTCCCTCAACCTCCACCACCACAACCCACCCAAGCTCGCCGCCACCACCACCCTCTCCACCAATCTAACTTCTCTCTCAACACCAAACACCGTGTCATCCACCACAGGCCTCACTACTATCCTGGCCCAAACCTGCGTCGTCTGGTGCAACCCCACCAGGAAAATCACTCTGATCAACAAGCTTCTCTCGACGCCAAAACTCGACTCACCGGAGTCATATAACCCCGCCTCAATACTCCCCTCAATGCCCAAACCAACGCAAACTTGGAACGTGCAAAGGAGAACCCAAGCAGTGTAGAGACGAGGTTGAACAACAGTACTGGACGGTGATGAAGGGTCACTCAAAGTGATGATTTTTCCCGTCAAAACGTGCATGAACGAAGCCACGCTAATGATGGACACAAGAACGTAGAGAATGAGAGGGTTGATGTAAAGGGCGAGGGTTAAAACATAGGGAAAGTGGCGGGGTGAATGGTACCAGGTGAGGGTTTGGAGATAGTATTGTGCATCGGAGAATTTGGCCAGTAGCAGAAACGAGAGAGGTAAGAGAAGGGTGAGGATGGTGAAGGTAAAGATGTAGAATATCTCTTTTGGGGTTATGCCCTTCAAGAGATCTTTTGTTTTTTGCTGCAAACTACTCATACAAACCATGACGAGTGTTTGAATTGCAACAAATTAAACACCAACAAGGGAATCAGTTCATTATTGAGGTGTGTCTCTAATCTCTATATACGTGATGACTTAGCAACTATAGATGCCGGAAAAGGAATTAAAAGGTGGTTGCCACGTCTGTTGTTCGTTCAGTTGACATTTTATACGACACTGTCTTAGAATCTTGTTGGAAGATATATAAATGTCAAAAACCATGATTGTACGTTGATGGAAACTTCATAATTCTTCTTTTTTTTATATCTTTTGCGCGTTGGTTTGCTTTGTGCTAAGACGGTTGTGAAAATTTGTTCATCAAATAGTACTTTGTCTTCGTATTGTTACCAAATCAAGGCCTATAATTACTTACAAATGTTTTGCCTCAAGAGTCTCTTTTAATTATATATATATATATAATAAGCGATTTAAAAATATGAAAGGCTTGACCTAATGGATATTATAATTTGTTTGAAGTGAATGAGCCATTTGGCCCTTCCTTGGTTTCCTGCATTGAATTGTAAAAGATTGATCCAAAATCGACATCCTTAATACATTATTTGTTAACTTGGAAGAGATTAATTTAGAAAGGTGAGGAGTTGGTATAAAAGATGAAGAGTGGTTGTTGGAGTGGATTATTTGTCTTTATTTGTCTATATCTTGTTTGGGAGAAGAGGTGAAGATGTTATGGATTGGTTAATCATTTGCTAAAGCCCGACAATGTTAATTGGACAATTTCTTCCAAGTTGTGTTGCTAGGCCCACCTAAATCATAAATATTCCACCAAATTCCGTTCCCTCTTTTGAAAATGAGAGAAAGAGGAGCAAGGTTCCAATCCAAGTACCAAACCTATATACATAGCCCTGTACTAGAATGGAACCCCATTTCTTTATATTGTTGTCACCATTTTAAAATACAAATATATCCTTAATAATAATATCATTATCAAATAGAAATATAAATGCAAAATTCTTTCATACAGTAAATCATCAAACATTAAAATATGACTGGATCAAAAGCTCGACCAATAAGTACAAAATAGAGATCATAACGGGTTTCTTAACGAATAATATCTATTCACAATGTGATCTGTAAAATAAAAATTATATTCGTAACTTATTCGTTAACGTGGATATTCGTTTAAAAAAAACTAACATATATTTTAAAATTCGCGGGTAACATATAATTGCAAATATTAAAAAATATATATTTTATATATTTTTAAAATAAAATTTAAATAAAACTAAAAAAATATATATAATTTAATTTTAATTAAATTTAATCTAGTAAATATTTTTTTATATTTAAAATTAAAATTAATTAAATAAAATATAAATTAAATTATTGTTTTTATTTTTTACGGATAACGATAGATCGGATAATATAATTAATACTCACATCCGATCTATTTATAAACCATTTATAAACCGTATTAAAATACTTACTACCAACAATCTGTAAATAATAAATATTTACATATATCAATTATCCGTCATAGATTTTATCTTCAAAAATGTAGACGCCTGTTTTCTTTGCCCATACAAAGTTGGAATGGGTGTGTAAGTTTTATCTTGATTGTCATTCCATAGAAAAATAATAAAAATTGTAATATATTGATGTATGTTTATGTATTATTTCACTGTATCTATTATAAAATTAACAAAGTTACCTCAAATGATGGTCTTTTATTAAAAATAAATCAGTATATTTTGTTTTATAAATATTAATACGTCAGTGTATAATGTAATGTTTTCATTCTTATAGTCTTATTTAAAGATGACAGTTGGTAGGTGTGTGTGATATAAATTCAATAAATCAATAAAAATATCTATTAATTTAAAACTGTTACAACTAAATTGAAAATTCCAACAATAAATTTCAGGAGACTATCATTTAAAAACTTGTTTGAAAGCAACATCTGAAGAAGAGCTTCGAAAGAAAAGTATATCAAAAAGAGTTTTTGAGTTTCTCTAATTGCTAAGACTATATTTGATTTTTTATAAATTACAGAATTCCATAATAACTCAAATATGTTATAAGTAATTTTTTTCATTAGCAATTTCTGCATTTCTCAAATATTCTTTTAATTGTTTCTTCAAACAATAAATTAATTAATATTTATTCAATCATTTTCAAGCTCAAGACACTCATCCAAACATAAGAAAAAAATTAAATTAGATTAAATTATATATATATATATATATATATATATATATATATATATATTCATCTAATTAGTTTGACTAAAATATTTGTGTCTTAAGAAAATTACAAATGAAATTTAAAATTGAATAAAATGAAGCAAATATAAAAAAAAACTAAATAATAATTACATAACAAATACTATACAAAATAAAAAATGGTTAAACTTTGAGTTAAAAACAAAACGTTAACAAGATACTATTACACTGGACAGTGAAATTATTATTTTTATCCATTTTAAGAAAAAAAAAATGGCGAGAAAAGTAAAAAGGGATATTTGTTAAACTACATGTGAGTGTCGGGAGTGGTAGCGTAGTAGTAGCCGAACATGTTTTTAGTATGCGATTGAAGGAGAGTTCGGAATCGCATATTTCCTGAGAAATAGGATTTCATTTTTGGTTGGACATATGAAATGAATTCCAAGTGGCAGTGATTGATGAATTTTTGTAGTTAAAAATATCTGTTTATTTTAAGGCTGCTTATTAATACTATATTGCAAGGTGGGGTTGCTGGGGGCTGCGCTGTTAGTGATATGTGCAACTTCTTCATAACTTTATATTAAATGGGAGAAAAGAAAGGGAGAAAGCAACTTGCAGGCTTTGCCATTATCTCTTACCTTGTCCTTCTTCCTACTACTATACTATTTTTTCTCTCTCTAATCAATCATACACTTGCCTCTCAAAACCTCCATTTCTCAAACCAAGCTTGCACCAAAACAACACAAACACATAGCCATGGACACTGATGCTAATGCCTCTTCCCAACCCGAGTCAGAAGCATTTTCAGAGCTCAAATCATCGGAGACTCAAACATCAAAGAAAAGGTATTGCTTAAGAAAAGTGAAAATGGATACAAGATTTTTTCTTCAATAGTTTTGGTAAAGTGCTGTTTGGAAGTTTTATGTTTGAGTTTTGCATGTGACAGGAAACTGGTTGAGAAAACAGTGGTGGCAGTGAGGATAGGAGAGAATGTTGGGAAGCTGAAGAATGAAGGACTACCTTCAGATTTTTGGTCTTGGAGGAAATATGGACAAAAACCAATCAAAGGGTCTCCATATCCAAGGTGTTCCTTCTTTCTACTACAAAATCATTTCTTCATCCGTATGGACCCATACTCCAATATTCACACTCTTTACTTGTTGTCCTTCTTCCTGATTCCACATCTATATATAATTCTTAGAAAAAGGGAAGAAAAAGTGATCAACTTGCGCCTTTGGCTCTTGTTAGTTCTTACCCTTCAATGCATAATTCAATCACTTGGTTAGTATATCCACCTACCTAGATTCACATTCAAACCCTGAGACAAGAGGCATGGAAATCTGTTCACTTTCTTTTTACTTTCACTGTAATCATCTTGAAAACAAGCTAATCCACCTTTAGTGACATGAATCGATTAATGTTGTTAGTTTTGAATTCGACTGGTAAGAATATTACTTTGTTGAATCCTCCGAAAGAGAAATTTAGTCTTCGAGGACTCGATCAGACCCTTTAAACCGTAATTAAAATGCTAAATACGTTTATCTGGTAAACTTTTGCTAGATCTATAAGCTTGGTTCGGTACAATTATGCAGGGGCTATTACAAGTGCAGCACATCCAAAGGTTGTTCGGCCAAAAAGCAGGTAGAGAGATGCAGAACAGATGCTTCAATGCTCATCATCACATACACCTCTACACATAACCATCCATGCCCCACCACCACAAATTCACCCCAACAACCAAAAGAATACGAATCCGAAACGACCCAAGAACTCTCAAAGGAGGAAGATCAAGAACATACAGAAGAAGAGCAAAGGGATGATAAGCCGATCGATGAAGGTAGAAATGAAGAAAAGTTTCTTTACCTGCAATCTCCAATACGATGCTCCCAAGACATAATAATAGAACAAGAAGACCCTTTCAAGCTGAACACGGAGAAAAACCATGAAAGAATAGATCTCCTCTTGGAGGAGGAAGAGCCCCTTTGTTACGCACAAGCGAAGAACATGTCTGGTTCGAAAAGTGAAGAACTTGATTTTTTCGACGAGCTTGAGGAGTTGCCCATGTCTTCATCTTTCTTGCACTTCACGAGGAGCATTTTTTCCGATGAAAGGATTCCCGTTGCCCCTTCTTGATTCCAGTGTTGTTTGGTGTATCTATTGCTTTAACCAATGTTACATATCCATTTTTCAATTCAGAATTCTTCTTATCTTCTCTATCCTTTATTCACACCAGATACCGAAGCTCTTCAAAATTCATCATTTTGGTTAGTTAAGGTCATGTAGTTAAACAATGATGGTTTGGCACACAATCAATACTATATAATTATTACTATACTTTTTTAGATATCTATTATTTGTTCAGAAAATAAAGAACATGGAATAATGGGAAAATGGTTTTATCCAGACAGAATGAATTTAAGCAAAAGACGAAAATGGAGATGTTGGAAGATGGAGGAGGGGGGCATTGTTGTAATTTAGTAGTATGGAAAAGAGGGCACGAGGTTCTCGAGTGGAGTGGTGCGTGTCTGAGGATGAGATTGTTTATTTGTGTATTTTGGTATGATGAATGTTGAGTGGTTGATTTGGTGGAAGAGTTATGAGTGCCACACCATTTTGGCAGTACTAAGATGGATTGAGAAATATGGTTGGAAAAGGTGTATTGTACTGAACTTTAAATCCTCCAAAAGTTGAAACTTCCATTGCACAAAATGCCAAATCCCCGTGCCTTTTTTTTATTACTTCCTTCTGTTACTCTCTATATGCTTTCACAGCCACGAATTCTGGAATCAAATTCATTAATCATCTATCTTTCTTTAATGCCTGCGTTCAAGCTCATCACTGTATAAAAATGTTCTGTTATTTACAATTTTTTCGTTTACAAATATTCTTAGAATGATTTAGTGGAAAGAAAATCATAAAAAGGATTAAAATACGATTCATTCACAGATTACGAGATTCTTACATGGGCGCAGAATAGTTTAATAGGACAACAATGTATGTTTTTTGGTACTTGAAAATGGTTTTTTGTTCTTTCTGTTCCAATGTGCATTTCTCGGTAAATAAATACGTACTAGATAAAGTAATACATTTTTAGTCCCTCAATAAAAACTACAAATACATAATAATACTTTTTAAAGAAGGGATAACACAAACTGTAATTTCTGTGTAAAAATGTTACACTCTCAATTTCTTTGTAAGAATAATGTTGTAAAATTTGATTATCGTATTCGTATCAGTGTATTGTGTTTGATATCCAAATACACTGACAACTACAGAAAATGTGACGGTTGCCTTATATCATCTGTAACAATTAATAACGAATTTTTTTCTAACCTTTTTGTATGCATATCTTCTTAAAATTATGTTATTCTCAAAACTGAAATAATTGTGTTTATTATGGTACTGTTATGCATTAATGTTTATTGTATTTGGAGAAAAGTAAAAAAAAAAAAGAATAATTAGTTTACAAAGAAAGGGATAAAATTAATAGTTATAATTAGTTTGTTATTATGTTAGTTAACTTTTCATTACTGTAAAAAATGTACATTAACACCAACATTTCTACCTATTTGTTTGAGTTAATCCAATGGCTGAGAACTTATCCGACACGGAGGGATCCACATCGCAGACCTACACGAATCCAATAACACACGTGCACAGCTACTTTCCACTTATAGATAAACATACACCCAGTCACACGTCAGAGATGTTCATTGAGAAAAGATTTCTTTGAATAATTATTTTCATAATTTATTTTTCTGCGGATTAATTGTTTGTTAAGAAATTAATTATATATTTTCACCTTTTAAAATACACATAACAAAGTTTATTCATACAAATCCTTACTTAGATGAAAAACATTCGTTAATATTATCCAAAATCTCATTCACTAGAACCATAGTATAGTGGACAACTTCTATAAGAGTGAAAAAACAAAATGCAAACCTGACATACAATCTCTAATGCACATTTCGTAGGTATTATTTTACTAACTAAATTTATTAAAATAAACTATAATGAAATTTCATTAAAAAGCAAGGTCAATGTTGTTAAGAATATGACTATAATATTAAGTCTCATATTATATATATAAATTAAAAAGTTAAATAATATATAAAATGATGATGCATAAAATTATTATTTTAAAATAAGGTATCGAAAATGTCATCAGAATAAATATGTTTAATTAGTTGGAGGAGAAAAATAAAAATATAAAAAAGAAATAAGAAAAAAAGTAAATGTTTGAATGCTAGGTAAAGTAAACATAGATGAGTGTTTTGAGTGGCGTAATTTAATTTATTTAATAAAAAATAATAATGAATGAGTATAAATATATTAAAGATGCAACATTCATTTGCATGAGAATGGTGACTGATATAATTAATGAACAGAAAGAAAAAACAATGTTAGTGTTTCTTTAACTGAGAATAAAATTTGCATTTAGAAAAACTGATTTGATACTGGATTCGATTACTTCTTCTAATCACTGAGGATTTGTTCACTTGGATTTGGGGAAGAATGATTGAGTGAATTTGTGAAGATTTAAATATAAATTTTGTTGTTGAGTGAATTTGGAGGTAAGTGAAAGTGGATTTGGAAGTAAATTTTTTTAATCTGTCACATCAATCAAATCCTAATCTAATTCTCATACTCAAAATTCACTCAAATAAACAACAACAAAATTTATCTTCAAATCTTCTCAAATTCACTCAATCACTCTCCTCCAAATCCATTCAAGTGAACAAATGGTGAAAGATTGAATTGCAAAAACGATACTCTCACGAGTTTATTTCGTTGATTTTTGGTTGGTGAAAATGAAAAAAACTACATAAAACTAAATTATTTAAGAGTCTTCCTTGAAATAAGATAATTAAGAGCAAGATGCAAGCAACAATTCAATTCATTACTCAACGTTTGGGTATGTCATACCAAAACATGAAGAAAGCTCGTGTTGTAACTTGTAAATAAAACTGAACTGTCATATCTAGGAAGAATAAAGTCCTATAATATTTCATAACCTAATGGACGGGGGATTAAGACTATGTTACTTTTGGAGAAATAATTTGAATACGAGTGCGTGGATGAATTTGAGAGAGAATAAATGATAAAGTGACGTTATTTTTTAAAGAAATTTGAAGATTAAAGTAGAGATATTTGAAAGTAAAATTTTAAAAAAATTGGAAATGATTTGATGAATATGAGAAATAAAATAAATGTTTTAATAAATTAAGTGGTAAAATTACATATTTATTTTTATGGTTAAAATTAATAAAAAATAAAATATAATTAGTTAAAATTAAATTAAAATAAAATGTGGATAATTTTTTATAAAAAATTTATAGGTGTAATTAATTTAGAATAAAATGTGATTGACTAAAAATAATTTTAATTAAATATTGAATTATAAAAAAATTAATGCTATTATTAATTAATTACTTTTGTCATTATAACTTTTATTAGTATTTTATTTAAATGTATTGTTTTTTCCATTAATATTATTTTTAAATATTTTATATTTCATTATTGTTATTAAATTATTATTTTTATTATAATTATTAGTTATCCAAAATAAAGGATTGTAAAGATTAAAAAAAAATCAAAAGCGATTTAGTAATTGCCTTCTTCATCCCTTCTAATCGCTTCAACTTAAAGAGAGATAGAATCTCACGTCTTTCTCTTAATTACTGTGCATCATTTACCCACAAATATATCAAAAAGAACAATCATATCTATCCACTTAATCTTTCACAATTAGTAAATATCCTGAAAGAAACAAAACCTAAAAGTTTGGAAGTGCATAACACAAGTTGATATATTTATTTTTGTTAATAAAAACTTATCATTATTATCATATACAATACAATCCTTATTATTCATTATTTTATAACAAAAATACCAGTTTCATTTTGCATTTTCTCATTCAAATCACTGTCACTTTATAAATTTTTCTTCTGCTCTATTTTTCTATATTTGTCCAAACAAAGCCTTTATTCCAACTGAGTCTCGGTGATGATGATAAATTATCCTTTGAGCAATAAGACGCAACAAAACATGTACGACTGTTTGTGAATTTCTATTACCTGAAAATATTATCTTACAAAACTTGTAAACGGGCAATATTTTAAAAGAATGTGATTGACCGAATGAGAAATCCACAATATCATAAGAGTACTCAATCAAGACTTGGAGCTTTTATGGAAAATATTAGTATAGTATAATGGGGGAAGATGAAGGATAGATATCCGTGGACAGATGATACATTGAGTTTGTTAGGTCAACACTGGTGACGATGAAAAAAGAACTATGGGACAATGGAATTAATATAGTATGATGGATGAAGATGAGTTATTGAATTAATATAACATGTCTGCTAAATAAAAAGAGAAGAAAAATTGTTTTTAAAATGCAATGAAACCATTGTAATAGTTACATTTCTAATTACAATTTTATTTCTTATCTATTTGCATTATGAATGATTTCAAAAGGAATAATCATATAAGCTCCTTTAATTTTCCCAATGGGAATTTACTGGAAAAATGACTCATCTCATCTACTAGTATTGCTGCTAAAAGAGCAAGGGTAATAAACAGGAAAGGTCTGTCCATGCTATACATGTATCCATTACCAATTAACTGGATACCATTGCGCAAAGCCGCTTATAACAGCATTAAAAATAAAGTACAATAAAGCAAATGCACAAACTGCAATATGAGCTCTATCTACCAAACGCTCTCAACTCCCAGTTGCTTAGCCAAAAGCCTCTGTGAAAGATAAAAAAACATCGATGGTGCCAAGTAACTGGCAGAAGGAAGTGATAGGGGTCATTGAAAACATCAACAGGTAGTTTCAGCCACCACCTTCTCCTGGACAGCCTTGTAGCATTGGAGACTGCAAAGAGGAAGTTTTGATTTTGAATCCCGATACTTATAAGGATTTGAACAATATGGACCAGCACACTTCTCGCGAGGTGGAGGATAACTGAAACAATACAGTTATAGAATCAGCGGAGAAGAAAAGTCTTGATGTGTTTACCAAACAAACAGCCCTAGTTTCAAAAGCATTTGTTGAAATGGGGAAACAACTAAAGCCAAATGTACTTTCTAAGAGTTCTTTATTGATAAACAGCACAAATTTTTAATATCAATTTACCCCCCCTCCCCCCTCTATTTTATTTGTCGACCATTCTGAAAGAGTTTCAGTAAGACAGTAACAAAGCCACATTAAGCAAAGCTCGATAGATGCACGAATGTTTCCCTTTTGAGATAACAGTATTTTAAAATCAATTTCCATTCATTTCATT